AATTATATTTAAAGTACGGAAACGTGTGATTTAAAAATATATACGGTAATGTCTCCCTTACTGACGCTCTGTGATTGTCCACTAAAATAGACAATTTGGGAAGAGGAGATACGATTATTCGAGCCTCGCGGCTCGTTTTTATAATTGTGGACAATTTATAACTATAATAATAAACTGCAAGGCTCGAATAGTCGTATCTCCTCTTCCCAAATTGTCCACTTTTCTACGCAATCTGGGCGTCAATTATTTAAATACATTACTGTATTACGTTCTTTTAAATATCATTATTTATTTCAGATATTGTTTATTATATCGACGTTTACAGCAAACTCGTTCGTGACGAAACAAGGCAATAGTTAATAAATATTGTTGGCGATACCAATTAATCCGTTGGGTCGCCATGTCGGTTGCTCGAAGACCGAACCATTAATTGAACCAGTAACTAGAAATTAGTGGGACAAAGAGATTGTAGAGAACGTGGACACCGATCGAAAATAATAGCGACTGGAACGGATCCGAGGATGAATTTCCGCTCGAGGAGAGACGACCCACAAACGGAGAGGTCTAGTTCTTTGACGCACAGGTCTGGAGAAAATGGCAGCGACCTAACGCGTTGGAATCAATCGTGAGACTGATAGCTTTCGAAACGGTTGACGCTCGTCTCCGAGCAATGACAAAAGTTTAACGGCTCGGAATTGAATTCGACCGAGAAAACACCCTTCCAGGAGAACGATAGACGGAAAAGGGAAGAAAAAAATATAGGACGTAGCGACTGGCTGCAGCGGGAAAATTGGATTTCGCGTGTTGGAGTAAGTACGAACAACAACGTCTACGTCGAACGAACTGCTTCATTCGATCGAATCCTCCCTTTTTCCCTTCGTTCCAAGGGACCGAAGTGATTTCCGCGCGATTTTTTGATGATCCCGTGAAACCCGATCGGACAAATAACGCTTCGAACTATTTTCGAACAACTCGCGATTTTTTTGCCGCGCCGACGCTCGTCGTGTAAATAAACTTGTAAATCTTTATCGATTTACGGTGACCGTGGTATTTAAAAATATAGGGAGACTCGTGCGGGGTGAGTCGTCTAACTAACTGTGTCGCCTCAATTTTTCTTGTAAACTATTTTTCTTCTATAAATATTTCGAGCAAAAGTTATTTCGTATAAAGAGAAGCGTGCACGATTAATTTTTCGCCGTTTTCCTTTCTCGCGTAATAAAATATCGATTGAAGCGACGATAAGCTTTCTCCCAAATGAGAAGTCAAATACACCCTTCCGCGTCTGCAGAGGAAATGTTTAAACTATTCGGGGAAAGAGAGAAAAAAAAGAAGCGCGATTATTCAAACGATGCGCAGCTTTCGAATCAAACTTCCCTTTGTTATCTACGAAATTGAAAAAGTTCCCTCGCGAAAATACAAAGGAAAAGAACACGCCGCGCCGGCTGTGCACGCATCATCCAGAGCTTCGAATTAATTACGCGTCAATTAGGCATACACAGCTGCAGAAAATCGAGGCTCGGTCATTAAGTCGACTACCAAGTTCATCGTACAAAGTACGTACGTATGCTGCAACGAGCTAATTTTCACCGGCCTCTCCCTCCGTCATCCTTTCTCTCTGTCTTCCTTCATTCGAATACGACCATGGTAGCTCCTAGCTTTGAACTCCCGGCTCCCAGGGAAGTCAATGTTTCATTAACTTATTCCGCGAACCCTTCCGTCCCTCGTTTCATTAGATTCGTTCTTTCTCTGATTGACTTCGACGAATCAGGCTTGTTCGTTCCTATTTTTGTAGAGGTTAGAACTGCCTAATAAAAGAAAGGCTCCCTTGTATACACAAATAGATAATTTGGGAAGAGGAGCCTCGTTTTTATAATTACTGACGATCTTCCCAAATTGTCCATTTTTATTTACAAGTTGAAGGAAAATTGCGGAGAATTTACTGCATTTTTATTTCATCCAACGAAGACCGAAGTCGGAGATGTATTTGAGACGATTAAATTTATCGTATGCTATTCTATCGTACTTCAGTTCATTTTATTTTCCCGTTTGGACAACTTGGAAGGAGACCAATAAAGTTCATTATTATTATTATTATATGCGACACGAGTACATCGTTTAAATTTGACTTCGATACTGTTAGATCTGTGCAATTAATTATACTTTCGAACGGGGGAGAAGGATTCATTCGTATGTTCCGCGTTTCGAAGTTCGTTCATTCTGCACATGGTCCATTTTATCGTGCCGCCCACGCGTTTGCGAGATAACACTGTCCACACGAAACTAAAATATTAATCTCCGAAGGAAGATAACGAATGCGTCGGGATGAACGCGAACGATAAGAACAGCGCTAAATAGGTTCCTAGAACACACAGCGGACGCGAACTGTTTTAGAATCGCTGATTCGTTGTTCCGGTAGATTTTCGGTGTGGGCGAACAACGCATCGAACGGGAAACCAGGCCAACTCTGATCTACGCCTATGACGAATTCAGTGAAAAATCGGTGAAACAAAAAGCCGGCAAATCGTGGAACGAATGCGCGCGGATTCAGAAAACCCGGATGAAAATCATACGGATTGTCGGCTCGAGTGGCTGTACAAAAGATCTCTCGCCTTCGGCGACCCATCAATCGGTTTCCCGTCGTTCGAGCTATTTTCGGCGACCTCTTAACGCGATTAGCTGTCGCGGATCGAGGCGCGAGATCTGTCGTTCTCGTCGCGACAATGGAAAGTCTATCGGGAGAGGGGAAGGGAGAGAGAGAGAGAGAGAGAGAGAGAGAGAGAGAGAGAGAGAGAGAGGTACACGTGATCGCAATCTGCGGTGATAAATGACGTTATTAGAGCGTCCGAGTCTCCGCAATTACAGCCGACTGCGGCCGAACGCATCGGTAATTAGAATGGGATTTTGTGCGCGCGCGGGCCGCACGGAGCGCGACGTATCGTAGGATAGCGAAGCGGTTGACCGATAATAAGGATATTGGTAACGGGAAGCGGACAATGATCATTAGAGACCGAGAGAGCCGGCGGGTGAAGAGGTATCATGACTCCTACGTGCCGAGGGTCGCCGACCTTTCGGCGAAATGACTCTTCGGCCACGGAAAACGGACCGCTAAAAACGTGTAATTACACCCCTATTAGAGGGTTACTTGCCGCGTCCGGACCCGCGTCAATGAAATTCTGAATACCTACCATCGGACGGGGTATTCGGCGCAAGAAGCTGCGGATGAAAAACCGTTAAGGGGACTCTGCTTTCGTCGTCGGAAAAACTCTGCAATAATTGGGAACTTCTTGCGACGAAACCGATCCGAAATCTTTCGCAGTTTTAACGCTGGAACCGTTCACGGTGTCGAAAATTCTTTAACATCTCTGTACACGCGTTCTACGTTCTCGATCATGTGCTACATATTGTAGTATACATAAATGTAGTATACATAGTATATACATATTAAAATCCTCGATCTAAATCATAAAGTGTAATCTTCGTAAATAAGTTCAAGAGAAGCAGTGGACCAGAAAATTTGCATATTTTGCAAAGCTGTCGTACAAATCGCAAAGAATAATAAGATAATCCTAAAAATAATTAGATTGCAAGCTTTACGCATTTGTGAGGAAGATGAGCAGCTGTCATTCGACAGTAAAAATATTTGGAGAATGGAAGAGCATCGAAGTGCTATTTACGACGTGCTAAAATCATCGAACAAGCAAAGAAGCGCCTAAGTGGCTCTTGTTTCTCAAATTGATGTTCGATTGATTTCGTAAAGGAGATTGTCTCGAGAATCGAGAGCACATTCTAGACGTCGAACCGAGGAGATGTCTGAAATTTTGATCATCCCAAAATGATCTGTCTGGGAACAGCAATTCTCCGTAATTGGCGGAATTGTGCAGAATAATAACATATAATTATATATTATTATATTTTCTGCGCAATAATTGTGCAGAAAAATGGAAAATTTGCGAAGAGGAAGTCTGTATCTATAATATATAATAATATGTAGTAATTATAACAATCGTATCTGGAATTTCCAGACGATCTATTTCCGTGCACAATCCGAGCATCAATTAGGAGGAATTCACTGTATATTGTGCGCGTCTAATGCGATCCTTGTTCGCGTTGTTTAGGAAAAACCGTGGCCGTGCACAACAGTCTGCTTCGTTACCCCGTAGAGGAAAACCGGATATTCACGGATCGGATCGAATCGGATCGGACGGATTGCGCTGTGTATAGGTACTACATGATATTTCCACATACGAGAGGAGGAGCCTGCTCCCGAATCAATTGGGTGTATCAAAAAGGGAATAGCAAAAGCTGGAGGAGCAACCACTCGAAATCCCCGAGGCGGTTCTAATGGGTCCCCTAGTAGAGGTTTCTCAGCCTTGTTTGGATCTCTCCGACATTTCCACCGCAACCGGTAAATCCTCGCCTGTATACCTGTATCCCGTACGGTTAACGCAGAACTTATATGGGGATACCTGTATTCAGACGGATGCTTTAGCCGTGGCTGAGCGTGCTCGCTGATACGAATTACTCGGGTCTTGACATAACACGCGCATGCCTGCCCCGAGCCCCGAGCGAAAAAGAAATAAATTGATTAGGAACTCGAGTCAGTTTTTGCCCGACCGGCATCGCCGATGCACTGCTTATTACGAGAAGGGATGCAACGTTCTACGATCCTGTTGTATAATTGCCATCACTTTCAACTATCGTCTTCCCGGAACCTGTTACAACGATGATTTTCCTCCGCCGTAATAGTAAAGAACAAATAGAAAACGTAATTTCCTTCTTCGTGCTGTAGACGGAAAGATTTGTTTTATAACCCGGCATTATGTCCATCGATTCCGCGCACGATAAAACATACGTACGGAGAGCATTAAAGACATGGCATAAATAGACGTCGCGTCGATAAATAATCAATGAAACTTACGCTCGTAAATGTACAAGCAATTTCACTTACTGCACGCGCATACCGTGATCTCGCGGATCTTGGAACAGTGTCGGCAGCTCACCTTCTGCAACAAACGAAGAATTGCGGCGTTAGTACAAAATAATCTACACACCCGAAACATTTGATACAAATGGAAGGTATTGTTAAGACTCGGAGATCTCGTGCGTGTCATCGGAAGTCATGATTCAAAGCTGAGCTTTCGCTACTTCCGTTTTTAAAGATTAATAACGCTGCATCCGCGGGGATTTGTTTTCATTAGTCAGCCACACGAATACATCCGTAATCCCTTCGCATGAAAGGCCCTTGATAAAGACTCGTTAACGAGTTACTCGACCGGCCTTGCTATAGAAAGAATTAGGCATTCGGAGATGCACGAACGACGCCGATGACGTTCATTCTCTCATTTGTCCGTGACTATAAATCGCAACACATGCCATACCGTTTAGTAGAAGCATTTTTATACTCTTCGAACAGAGTTGAACGATTCTTTTCATTTCTTACAACAGAGCAATGGATCGGAGCAACGAATATTCTTACTATTTTCATAAATTTTGAAAGCTACATTTTTATACTTAAATAGATAAGCAGCAGATCCGCGTGAAAACGAAGAAATACGCCGGTCGATTTTTCCGCGACAGAAATAAAACGTTAACGGAGAAAGAAGTTTTCCGAGTGACCGTTAACGAAGAATAACTTTAATTCGCATAAAATGGATTCGTAATTACGACCGCGAAGAGAGATACCGAAATAAATGCAGGTATCGATCGCGACGATACAACATACGTACCAGCAGGGTATGTAGTTGCGACGAGGCGTCGCGGATTAGATTTACATCGTAACATTTTGCAAAACTTTCTAGCACATGCCACGAGAAACTGAAGTGACTCGAGTGTAACGCGACAATTACGTTCGCGACGCTGTTTCCCCTAATGGGAAACGTTCTGTGTCCATACATCGAAGCCAAAATTGTACTTCGCCGAGCTGGGCGAATTGAAAGGCGCGCTCGCGCAAATTGCACCTTTCATTTTCGAAGCGGATGTTACAGTTCTCCGAACGATGTAGATTTGTAGATTAACGACGATCACGAAACTATACAATCGGTATAGAACGAGCAACGTGGAACTACGACAGGCGCGCGCGCGCGGCTCGACTTTTTCACCTGGCATGATCCGAGCCTATTTCGCGAGCTCGCGTTACGCTTCCCTAAGTGGGTTATCGACCGTATCGACTATAAAGATACTGTTTTCAACGTGCTTTAGCCTGCCCCTCGACAATCTTTGTTTAAGCGTCAGCGTACGTTACCATTGCGCGCAAGCCAATCAGACGCGAAGATTTCGCTTCACGTGTGTACTCTGCTCTAAAAAGAACATCATCGTACCGTGAACGAGTCCGAGCCAATTTTCTGGAACGTGTAATTAAGCATTCTGAAATTCCATCGCTAATAAATTGCCTTACTCGTGACTCACACGCCCGATATCGGTTGAAGATTATTTTTTTTCTTTTTACTTGTGAATCATCATCGAGTTGCCTCAAGGATTCGCTCGTTCTCGTCTTTGGTGAGGAAATATATTCGCTTTCTTGAAGCAATTGCGATACAATGGGATAAGAGCATTCTTGTTTGTAATTCTAATTCTAATTTCCAGATTCTAATGAACAAGCGACGCTTTATTTTTTATAAAAATAATAAGAACATTCGTTGCTCCAATCTATTGCTCTTTAAAAAATGAAACAGATCGTTCTGCTCTATTTAAAGCGTGAAAAGCGATTCATTGAATTTCCGGAAATTTTTAAACGCGAATAATCTTCTCAGCGAATATGTTAATCGCGGCGATCGGCGATTTCATTCGAAACCCGTCGCCATAAAATAGTCCAGAAAAATCCAGCCGCGCGTACGAGATCGATCATAAAGCGTCCTACATGCACAGAATTAAATGCATAGCATACGTCGCACTCGAGCTCGTATTTACAGCAATAAATTCGATGTATTCCGAGATGAAAACCGAACGGTGCGAACGGCGAGAAATTTCGTTCAACACCCCCGTCCGAATCAAGGGTGAAAGCTGCCCTAAATCAACGACATCAATATCATTCTGACTTATTACATTCTTCCAACGAGAAATACATATTTAACCCGACGGTTGGAACTCGTCGATTTTTCGTGTCGCGGTCAGAAATTGCTCTAACCCCATCGCAAATTACACGATTCTAAGAAAATAATTAATTCGTCGCATTTGCATGACCATGGCAGGCGCTACGCGTCACGCAAGTTAAGAGCTTAGATGTCGAACACGTTGGCACGATTCCACGCCAATCGATAAATAAGTAGATGAATAAAATAAATTCAACTGGAAACGATAGTCTCTTGCAATTGAGATATCCATTAAAATACCTATCTTAACAGAATTCGTGTTCGAACGTTCCCAATAGTTTTCCAGGAAAAAATTCGTGAAAACCAATAGTTGCCGAGTCGAAATAAAATTATGCAATCCCGCGAATTTCAACACTAAAATAATCGAAGGTATACACGCGATAACGGTCAATTTTCCTCTTCTAAGAAATTCGTCGAAACGGACAAGTCCTAATCGTTGAACCGTGAAGAAAATTGTGCTGCCAAGGGTTTAAGTGACCGCCATTACCCACTTTTCCCCCACTTTAAATAAGTACTATACGTAGAAGATATAATACACGCTTCCACGACTGTATTCGGACCGCGGATCTTTGCACGAGATAAAAATTGTCTTCGCGCATTGCCAGCGAAACGCGTGATTAAACGCCGAACGTTGCTCCTTCGGCCGATAAAATTAATTCGACCTCGGAGGATGCACCTGCGAGAGCAGTTCCCGGTGCATCCAGGGCCCCGTTAAAAACGCCGAAACGCCACGGTCTCGCGGCAGGTCGAAATTTCGCGTGCCGACGCACAGTGAGTAACAGCGCGCACGCGATTATTATAATCGGTGTCGAAAAATCTCGGCCAATAATTCGCGGCCGGCCGTGTTCCGCGCAACGGAACGAAACGAAACGAAACGGAACGAAACGGAACGGAACGGAATGGAACGGAACGGAGCGGAATGCGCGAGGGAAATTGGTCGCGAGGACGCGAAACGAACGTGTCGCGTCGCGGGCCCCGGTTAAAATGGCCGGTTTGTACAATTACAAGCGGAGCCTGCGCGCGTGTAATCATGACATACCGCCTTGCAAACACGCTTGTTACACGGCGCGCTGGTACACCGAGGCGGGAAACGACGCGATGCGGCCTCCGCATATAGACAATTTATTCCCCGCTATCCGAGGGAACGCTCGCATTAACCAAAGCGAATCCGACGTCGAAACGGTAACGATGCACTGACCAGCCATTCCACCGATCATTTCCTCCGTTCCCTCCGATTTCCGTGACGTATCGACGTCCCTCGGACCCGCGAGTTCTTCGTCCAGCTGCGTTTTCCGTTTACCATCTCCATTTCCCGATATCGCAAAAACGTGATTAAGTTTCGCAGCGAGCCGGGACCCCGCCTCGCGGCTATCCGTGTGGAAATTACTATCGAATACACTGCAAAGCGGAAATGCGGCACCGCCACGATTTCAAACAGCTTCAAACATTCGCGCACCGATCTACGAGCGAACTACGAATTAAATCCGTCCGGTCGTATCTGCGGCCGCGTAAGGAAAAAAAACGCCGCGAGTGACGATCTCGAAAAAATTTCAGTTAAATTTCCCATATTTATTGGAAAAAATATTGTGATAATAAGTTCTATAGTATAAGTTCTATAGGCTCTAAAAAATTGTGCGATAATGCGAAGTAAATCTATAATATATAAATATAATATTATATAATATATTATAATAAATAAATATATATATATAATATAATATTAATAAATCTATAAATATAATATAATAGTAATTTAAGTTATTTAATTAATTGAAGCATTAGAGTGGATCGGAACTTTAAGCGACTATATCTCGGAAATGGAAACATATGGCATAGACATATTTCTCCGGTGATTCCAGTAATAATTAGAATACCTCTAAAATCTTTTTTACGCGCATACTTCGGCAAAGCCGAAACGCTACTCCTCAAAGATGACGGATTTCCGGATCGCGAACTCCTCTGAAATCAAATTCTCTTAGACGACCTGCTCGCGTTGTCTAGCTCCATACAATAAACATGCGAGGGATATTTCGATGCCACTCCATTTATTCAAGCAAAATCGAATTTTCCCTGCCGGCAACGCGCGGACAAAAGCAACTTTCGCATTCGTCCGGAACGAGATCCGACATCCTCGACCCGCGGCGACACGGCGCATAATAACCGATCTCTAAAAAGTGTTATCTAAGAGATTCCGGGGAAATATACGAGCGTATCGCGGCGGGGGGATTAAAAACACGGGACTTCGATTTAAGCAAGTGTTTCTCGCCGGAGTGTCCGCGGTCCCATGGAAATCGACGACAGCCGGCACGGAATATGTTAATACGAAAACGGTCTGCCGAGGGACCCGCGGACGGATTACGTGACTGGTTTTACTTTTCTTCCCGCGGCTTTATTTCTTTCGTGCGGTAGATTGCGTTTATGTGTGACCGCGACCGAACGGCGCGGTCGCTGCCGGTTTGGGGGCGGGGAGGGAGGGAACGTTTCGCCATTTTTGTCACAAAATCGTACAACGTTTCACGGGCTCGAGATAGCCCGGTGAAATATTTTGCAAACGAAAGCCGAGGTGTTGCGGGATAAGGGAGAGATAAGGGGAAAGAGTGACGAACAGGTTTTCACCTTGAGCATTTTTCTGAAAGTCGACCACCCCTTTCTTAACGGCGAAACTGCCGAACACGTCGCAACGACTCCCGACTCCCTTTTTTTGCAGCCGCGAAAATTAAGAAAACCTTTCCACGTGAAATTCTTTGGCAAATCCAACCTTGTCGTTGTTACAAAATAATAAGCATTAGCAGCGTTTAATCATTCTTAAGCAGCGACTAATAATTCTTAATAAGATCTACTTAATTTCTTCTGAAAATTGCAAATTTTATTTGCGCGTTGTTCTTTAAATATTTCAGAGAAATTGCAAGTTTTTT